TAGGAGGGAGGGAGGGAAGAAGGGAGGAAAAGAGGGAGGGGGGACTGGGATTGATATGTAAAATAAGAAAATTTTTTTTAAAAATTTGACAAAAGCTTAAAAAGAGATTTTAGAAACAAAAGAACAGAGACAAGCAAGGCTTCTTGGTAGCAGCATTTTTCTCAGGTGGGCTCTGTTTTGCTAGAGACAAACAGAGACTCAGCAGCTCCTTTAAGGGAGTCTTCCTGACTCAGCATAAGCAGAAAAAACTGCAGGGTACTTTTAAGAGGTCCTGCTAACAATTGAATGGTGTGGAGGAGCAGCTGGCAATGGCAGTAACCACATCTCCAAGCCAGCAGCATGCTGCTTGATGGCAGTGTAGACCAAGGCGGTGAGCACAGCTCTCAGTGCTGGTAGTAAAGGTACCCTGCCATATTGAAAAGCCAGTGGCAAAAAAAAAAAAGGAAAAGATTGAGATACACAGTAAAGACAGATTCAGGTGAAGTAAAACATAAAAGGCTTTTACAAAATGTTTAAAATATACATAGGCTTGGAAGAGAAAAAGAAACATGATAAAGTGTTTAAAAAAAATAAGAAAGAAAGAAAGGAAGGAAGGAAGGAAGAAAGGAAGAAAGAAAGAAAGAAAGAAATAGGATAGCTGGAGGCTAGGCAAATTGATCTCTGTGATTTCAAGGCCAGCCTAGTGTACAGAGTGAGTTCAAGGGCAGCCAAAGTTATACAGAGAAATCCTGTCTCAAAAAAGAAAAAAAATAAAAGTAATAAAAAACAATCATGTAAAGATGAAAAATACACAGATATTCTGGATACTGTATGCTATTGTGTTGTCTTTGAATTATTTGACTACTGAGGAAACAGCAACAACTGCTAAAAGAAATGCTGCTAGATTAATCCAATTTATATATTTTTAAAATGCCTTGACTTCAAAATTTAAATATAAGGATATGTTACTTTGGAAAAGTGATTTTATTTATGTTTCCACATAAAATAATAAGCTATGGATTCCTTCCAGACTAATATGGTTTAATGAAGTAAAATCCCCTAAAGCAATGTTCCAGGTGATTCAACATTCAAAACAGCTGGGACAAGACAGCCTTGCAGATCACTACAGCCAGGGTTTCTGGGTCTTCTTAGGATCCCCAAGATAGCACCCCCTAACAACAGAAAGCAGTTTGGAAAGAATGATGCCCAAATTCCCAAATATTGTTTATAAATATTTGTTTTCATGTAAATGGGGTTGGTTATAAATGGTTAATGATTACAGTCAGTCTCCTTCTAAAGAAAAAAAAAGAGAAATTATATAAACATCTAGGCCCCATAGGAAAGTGACTGATGAAACAAGATGGATAGTGCTGCTAGGTTCCTGCTTCATGGAAGAGTCTGCCAGACATTTTGCAGAACAAAGAGAAAACTGACTGACAAACTGCCAAACAATTTAAATTTTCCTGCTTTGCTGAGGAGTCTGCCAGACACACTATGGTCTATGGGCTGAAGATAGAACATTACAGAAGAACTTTGGGTGATAGATCAGGGAGCAAATTGTCTTTGTCAATTCTAGAGTTTATATATTATCTCTTCTGTGGTTTTTTTTATGGAGTTGAAGACAGATAGTCATGGTTATAGTTGTCCTTAGTTATGATAAAAGATAAGTTATATATGACTTTAGACTCACAAAGATAGATAAAATATTTCCTTTAAATCTAGCTAAATATTAGACTAAATATTCTATTACTTGATAACTGTTTTGTTATATATTTTACTATGTTAAAGTTAAAACCCTTCTTTTTATTCAGACAAAAAAGAGGAGATGATGGGAGATGCCATTCTGAAAATGTTTCTCTTATTGGTTAATGAATAAAGCACTGTTGGCCAATAGGGAAGCAAGATATGTGGGACTAAGAGAGATGGAGGATTCTGGGAAACATAGGACGGGGTCTCGATGTGATCTCGGGAGGAAAGGATGTGTGAGTCTGGAGGTCTCGGTAAGATAAGACCATGTAGAAATACATATACTAGTAATTATGGGCTAATATTTAAGACAGGGCTAGCCAATAAGAAGCTCTAACCATTGGCCAATAGCTTTATAACTAATAGAGTCTCTATGTGTTACTTTGGGACTGACAAGCTCTGGGACCAGGCTGGCAGCAAACTGCTTGTGTACAAGTCTATGAGTTTTACTAAGTTCATGTATCCCCTACCCTTTCCAGAGGCATGATTTGTATACAGTTGGAGGAGAGGCACAGAAATTGAGATCAAAGTTCTTCAGTGAGCCCAACAGTGCTCTCACTCCTGAAAGAAGGCACATATTTCTATTCCTAGAGCAGGGTCTGACAAACATGGCCTTTCAACCAGATTTTTCTGTACCATTTTATTTTTAAAGAGAAAATATAAGTACATTTATTGCTTCACTACTGTGACCCTGTCTTTCTAGATTTGTAGAGTAAATGGTACCAGTCAATATAGGATTCATATAAATTTAATGTCATTTGTATTTTTTTAAAAAAGCACATATAAGAACCAGAGAGACTGATGCATTGGGAAAGTGTTTGCCCCATGAGCTTGAGGACCTGAGTTTGGATCTTTAGTCATGACAGTATGCACCTGTAATCCCATTTTTAGAGAGGCAAAGATGGGAGGGAACCCTTGAGGCTTGCTAGACAACCAAGCTAGCCAACTCAGTGATCCCTGGGTCAGTAAGAGGCCCTGTCTTCACCAAATAGGGTGGAGAGCAATTGAAGTGACACTTGTCCTAAACCTCTGGCTTCCATGTGCAGTGCACGCGCGCGCACACACACACACACACACACACACACACACACACACACAGTGAGGTCAAACAAATATACAGGAATGTGGACAAAACTGAAGGAAAAATTGGAACTGATGTCTATCAGTTACTTGTCTTGCTGAAGCAACAACGCACCTGAGAGAAGCAACTTCAGGGAGGAGGGTTTGTTCTGACTCATGGTTTCAGTGACATCCAGCAGGGAAAGTGCACTGTCAGGAGAAGTAGAGGGCAATAAATGCTTATAGTCAGCTCACTTTTTAACTCTTGTATTTGGTCCAAGACCCCAGTCTGTGGGATGGTACTGTTAGGAATAATGCTTGCTCATGGGGAATCTGAATCAGGCACCAAATGTCAAGATAATACAAGAGGGGAACCTTGACAGATTCCACAGCAGGCAAGGTTGACAGAGACAATGGAACAAACATGCCAGGCAGAAAAACTTAATGAGAAATTTTTTTAGAAAGGGAAGGGGGAAGGAAAGAGAAAAGAGGTAAAGAGACACAGAGACAGAGGACAGAAAAGTCCTGTCTGCCCCAGGAGAATTCTGGAAAGAAAGAGTGAAAGAGAGAATAAGTGGGTGGAGGTCTTTTTTTTTTTAAGGAGTCCTTTGCACCTGTGTGCAGACTAGTACTCATGGAACCCTGGGCTGACCAGCGTACTGCCTGAGTGCAGTCTGCCAAGTGACAGGGACAGGCCAGAATAATGCCTGAATCCTTACTGGTACCACACTCAGATAGGTAGGTCTTCCTATCTTAATTAGAGGACAGTCCCTACTGGGCTTGCTTATAGGCTTGTCTCCTAGTGCTTTTAGAACCAGTCATGATAACAGCTATCATTACCAATCACAATGTCTTATAATAAAACCACCATATATTTCAGAAATTTGTCATTTCAATGTCAACGTCATACTTATAACCTTAAATATCCACCTATACTATTTAATTACTAAATCACTAGTTGCTGAAACTATATAGTTTTGTCTTTGTACCACTGTGATGTTATAGTTATACACAGTAGTGATAGATTTTTCTAAACCCTGTACTATAAAATATACCACATGTCAACCATTCTTCATGCTGATTGCTGTACCATTTAAATCACTCATTCCCTCCACACAGACCAGTATATATTGCCTTCTGCCTAAAAAACGTTTTTTTAAAAAAAAAAAAATCTTAATCCTGGAGCTTTATATACACTGGCCTCTATCAACTCCACTCACCCCAAATCCATTTGGGTTTCTAAAGGTCATGATTTTGTTTTTATTTTTATTGTTTTCAAGTATGTAAACCATAGACCATCAAACATCTCACGAAAACATACCTCAGATGTCCTCAAGATTCACTGCTATGTACCCCCAACTGTGTTCATGACACCCTATTAGTGACATAGGTCTCTACCTCTTGACCTCTAGGATCACAGGCATTTGCCACCAGACCATTTTTTGTGCAGTCTATGTGGTGTATGCTAATCAAGCACTCTATCAACTGAGCTAAACCCTTTCCCCTAACTTTTAGATGATTCTGATGAAAGCAATATTGTGGCAAAATGTTGTGGATGAGTTGGGGATCTAGGTTTGTCTTAATAGACTTGTTACTTTTAGATGATTAAAGAAAAATTAAATAACAGCCAAAAATTAATTTTTACAGAGATAATAGTCAATGTGTGTGTGTGTGTTGTTGTTGTTGTTGTTGTTAAAAACAATGAATAATCTCAATGTTGCACAAAGAAAAGCCAGAACAAAGCAAAAGGAGCAAGGCAATTCTTTTTGCAAAAAGGGTGTGCCATAATCCAAACTGGGCCACCAAGCACAGAAGAGCTCATGGTTTTTAGTCTAACACAGGTAGTGACTGTGTCTTTTACCATTGGCTGGGATCCAACTTCACAATCTTTGGAAATTGGCTAATTTTGAAAGAATTATACAAAGAGAATGAAGGGGAGTTAAGAAAGGATAGGGCATTTAAGTCACTTAAATCCAAGAATAGAAAAGGATCTTTGTATAAACAACAGTTTTACCAGGTGTGTGCATAATAGAGTTAGGGGAGACAAAAAGATTTTCATTCCATGTGGCAAACAACATTTTTATAGTGTTTACAGAAAAGACTAATATTTCATTTTTCTTCCAGTATTAACCTTACCTGGGTTATTCTATGATGATAAGAGCATTTTAAATAGTCAATCTTAAGGAAACAGTAAAAGAACTTTTGCTCATTTGCAGGAAATCCACAGGATGAAGAATTCTTGGAATATCACGCAGGGAATGACTATTGTGTCCGGAAAACTGGTAAAATGGAAGCATGGCTCCGTGAACAAGAAGGCCAAGGACAGCTTTTCTGGGACAGCTCCAGCTCTGACTCAGACGAGCTTAGAGATCAGAAGAGACCACGAGCACTGGTGAGGACCAGGACAGAGAGGATCCCACTTTATGATGCGTTTTATGACAGAGAATGAGAAATCTACACACTACCCCAGACAGTGAGGACACTGAATGATTTGTTTTCATCAAAATCAATCCTATTTGCATACGAACCACTCTAAGGGAAGTAACTTACTTGGTTCAAAGAAAGTCATCTGGAGTCTTGTGGTTAATAGGTTTGTCATGCATTCTACAAGTCTATGCCTTAAAACTAAGGGGCTGAAAACAAAGGCCTTTTGATTGTCTTACTTTTCTGTGGGTAGCTGGGCTGGGCTCAATGAGGTTGTTCTGTTGGTCTCTTCATATAACTTATGTAATTTGATATCAGATAGAGCCTGAGCTAGAACATAAGACAACTGAAATTTGATCACTTTCCACACATTCTGAATCTCTTTACACAGTCTGTGCAACAAGGAAGTAATCTTTCCTTTAAACCAGTTCAATGCTTCTAATAATCGAATATTCTAACTGAAGGAAGCTGGAGGACAAATTGGCAAGCATCCAGTCATTGAACCCATCCTACGCCACTTCCACCATATCCTATCAGTTAATGCAAGACGTAGGTCAAATGCTAGCAAATAAAAAGAGTCTACAAAAGGGGACAGGCACCAAAGAGTGTCCATTCTGGAGACTTTCAACACCATGCAATTCAAAGCTTGGAACTGGTTTTGCCATTAGAAGCATGGTTGTAGTCAGGCGTGATGGTGCATGCCTTTAATCCCAGCACTCAGGAGGCAGGGGTAAGTGAATCTCTGGGTTCAAGGCCAGCCTGGTCTACAGAGGGAGTTCCAGGACAACCCGGGCTACCCAGAGAAACCCAGATCATGGGGGGGGGGGGATAGTTAAAGAAGCATGGTGGCAACCTGCCTATAATCCCAACAATGAAGATGCTGAAGGAGAATCATGAATTCAAGACCAGCCTGTGCTACATGACAAAAGCCTGTCTCAATCAACTGATCATCAATAAAGGCAAATTAAGTGCTATAAAAGTAGATGAGAGTACATTGTATATTAAAAAGTGAGTTTTTAAAGAAACATCACTGTGATGCTGCAAGAGACACTAAGAAAAATTTGGCTATGTTTTAAATAAGCTGCCCATATAGCAAGGGCTCAAGAAAGAGGTAGATAAAATCAGGAGTGAAATGTAATTGTTGAAATAAATTCCAAAATTAAGACCACTTCACATGATCTACAAATGGTTTTAAGCATTTCAACTTTCCAACAACTTAGTAAAACGTTTAAACAAGGCTTTTTAAAGCCTTCAGTAGGAAATTTCCAAAAAGAAAAAACTAGAGCAAAGCACCACCTAAATGTGGCATCAGTCTTCAAACCATCACTAAGAAGACCAAAAGCCTATCAAGATGAGCTCACATCCTCCCAGAACAGAGGGTTATGTGTCTGTCCTTCCAGTAATTCTATCCTGTACTTTCTGTGCTTCCTGTTCTATACTTTTGACAAGAAGCCAATGGGTACCAATTATTAATACTAGGTTGTATCACCAATGGCCTTCTCCTAAAACCCATCAGAGGATGTGTAAATTTGAAATACCTCTGATGTCTTCACATGTTTATTGTGTGCTCAGAAACCTTAAAATAGGAAGGGAAACCCCCAGTGTTCAGGATAGTGGTACCAGGGGCTGGAGAGAGGGCTCAGCAGCCAAGATCTCTTGTTGCTCGTGCAAAGGACCCAGGTTGGGTTCCCAACACCCACAGGGCAGTTCACAACTATCTGCAACTCCAGTTTTTGGGCATCTCATGCCCTCTTCTGACCTCTGAAGGCACTGCATGCATGTAGGTACATGGACATACTTTTGGGCAAAACATCCATACATATATACAATGAAAACAAAAAAAAAATTAAAAAAAAAAAAGGTGGCACCAACCAGCATGTGTTGTCCAGTCTCTACTCTGTCACACAAAAGTAGATAAAACTTCCTTCTACAAACTCACTGGGCCATGACTTCCTCTAGAGCACGGACCCTCTCCTTGTGTTATTAGTGCCTGAACTCTCCGACTTACATCTGGCACAGAGTTCATTCTCAGATGTTGGTGAATTACCCAATTTATGTGTTGGGTCACCTTGTCAATTGGAGGCACTCATATCTCCCCAGCTCTGCAGTTGCTCACACTTACTTTATATCTTAAGACTTATATCCACAAGGTTCATTATATAGTAAAAAGACTTCTCAGAAGTTCTTGTAATGTGTGCATCTAAGTGGATGACCTCCACAGACACCACTGTGAGTTCCAGAAGATACACCATATGCTAATGAAGACCCAGAGCTCAAAGTTCTTCCTGAAACCACAGCAGAATGTATTCGCTGCAAGGAGAATTGATCACATGCCTTCCATGTGAGAGCTGATTTGCTTGCCCTGTAATTCCTCCTTAGCCAGTTTCTATAGATGATCTTAAAAGGATAATAATGGCTGTAACATGTGCTAGTATGCATGACTGTACTTGTGTGCCAGGGACTCTTCAACTGTGAGACGTGATTGTTCCTCACAGGTGTCCTCTAACAACGAGGACACTGAAGCAAAGAGGGACTCAGTGAAGTGCCAGAGTCATCCAGCCCAAACCTCCCTTCAGGGTTGACCATTGTTTACCTAAAGCAATCTTCTTGCTGGAAGCCAGGGGCCCTTCCCTTCTTTATCAAATTTACTTCTAAGAACTCAAATGATGACCAGTTTCCCATACTTTTTTCTATTCCCTGATTTTGTTTTGGTATTTTGTGTTGTTTTAAAAGTATAGGAGCACATTGGAAAGCAAAGGTGCTTTAAGGGTCCCTGCCCCTTTAAAGGAGGTTAGAATGGCCAGATAGCCAGACTGTGAGCACAGTAAAGTCTCAAAGCACCTACAGACTGGAGAAAAACTCTCCTGTCATCATTAGGCCTGGAAGCCTGGAAGCACTATCCACCCAACTCCTGGTCTCAAGTGAGACATAACAGCCATGATTGGGAACAGCAGTGCTGGGTGCTGGTCCCAGGTTAGAAACACCTGTTGCATGATCAAAAAGCAAACAGCCATCAAGACTCAGGGACCCTCCTTTTTTTGTTTTGGAGGCGGTATTCACGTACTGGGTTGTAATGAGTTATTTCTTATTAATAAGTATTTTAATTCTCAAATATGTTCAATCATCATGTTAATTTATTTATTCATTTGTGGGGAGTGGTGTGTAGGCCATGGCACACATGTTGAGGTCCCTAGACAATGTTTAGTGTTTAGCTCTCTCCTCCGATGTGTTCTGAGGACTGAGCCCAGGTAGTTAGGCTCAGTGGCAAGGACCTCCTCTATCAGCAGCTGATCTCACTGGGCCTCTAGATGTTATACAGATGAATTCAATGTTTAAAATATAGAATGACTAGAATTGAAAATAAAATCACAGTTATAACTATAAATATTTAACATCTAGCTAAAGCAACAACTTCTCTGGCTGATTTTTTGAAGCCATACACAGGAGGCCTGGAGCTCTACAAACAGTGGAAGAAATGCTCATTTGTTACTGATATCATGAGAGCATCAGTCCTATAACACATCCTAAATTTGTTCTGGCCAACCTACATCCTTTATAGACATAGCTTCTATTACCGCTGCTGAAAACAGAAACATCCAGTTGGAAGTAAAGTTGTCAGTTTCCTACAACTGAAAAAAAATCCAGATTTGGAAAGAAAAAGGCCTTGTTGATAACCAATTGTACTCTATATATACATACATGGAATATTTAGATATTCATTCTTGTTCTGAATTTTGCATGAAAAAGAGATGTCTCTTTTGCATAGTTTTGGGAATGTGCTTCTCACAATTGTGTGTCTTCTCAACTTGTGTTAATGGTGACTCAGCTACAGGCCAGGCCAGGATTACTAAAGATGACTCTTTCATCACCTATGAAGCAGTCTTGTAAGTGAATGGACATTGTCTATTGCAAACACAGTGTTTAAAGCTAAGAAACAGAAAACAGAAGAGAGGGAGCAGGTCACAGACAGACCATCTGTCTACTACATCCAGGTCTCTGGGTACCAGATTATCATAGCACTAGCCAAAGTCAGAATGCATATACTCCATGCAACATCTTCCCTTTCAACAAGATATTCCATGATAAAACCAAATTTAAACAATACCTATCCACAAACCCAGTCCTACAGAAAGTACTAAAAGGAAAATGCCAACCCACAGAAGTCAGCAACATCCTCAAGAACATAGGCAATAGATAAGCTTAAAGTAGCAAATCCCAAAGAAGTATATTGAACACACAATTTCATCACCAACATTGAAAACAAAAATAACATGAACTAGCAATCACTGGTAATTAATATCCATTAATATAAATGGTCTCGATTCACCTATAAAAAGACAGGCTAATAAAAACAGAATTCATCCTTCTGCTGCATGCAAGAAACACACCTCAACCACAGACAGACACTATCTCAAAGTAAAGGGTTTGGGAAAAAATTTTCCAATCAAATGAACCTAAGAAACAAGCTAGCATGGATATCCTAATATCTAACAAAATAGACTTCAAACTACATCAATCAAAAAAGATAAAGAAGGGCATTTCATATTCATCACAGGAAAAAAAAATCCATCAAGAGGAAATCTCAATTCTGAAAATCATGTCCCGAACACAGGAGCTCCAGCATTTGTAAAATAGCATTACTAAAGCTTAAATCATGAATCAAGCGCCACACACTAATGGTGGGAGACTTCAACACCCCACTCTCACCACTGGACAGGTCTGCCAGACAGAGCTTAACAGAGAAAGAAGGGAACTAACAAATATGATGACTCAAATGGACTTAACAGACATCTATAGAGCATTCCACCCAAACACAAAAGAATACACTTTCTTTTTTTTTCAGTGCCTCATGGAACTTTCACAAAAATAGACCATATACTCAGTAACAAAGCAAACCTCAACAGATACCAGAAAAAAAATTGGAATAAACCCCTGTACCCTAACAGATCAGCACAGCTTAAAGTTAGAATTCAACAGCAACATTAATTTCAGAAAGCCCACAAACACATGGAAATTGAACAATGATCAACTAAACCACCACTGGGTCAGGGAAGAAATAAAGAAA